TGTTAGGTCGCCCTGTGGCATTTCATTGCTTGTTTCATTTATTTATGTATGTATGTACTCCTTTATTTATCGTTTTGTCTATTCACTGTATTTGTTTACTACTTTAAAATACATAGCACAAGCTGAACGGGACTCTTATATACCTCGCCGTTACTCGTTTTAGAATATAAAGCCTGAAGTTAGGGAAAACATTTTTGTATTAGTTTTGCAGACGTGCCAGTCAACACAATTATAAAACAACCAAGCAACTATGTAAAATTAATCGGGTTATAATTAAAGTTTTATTCACCTAATACCAAATCAAAATCATCGTTTTCATTTACCCAACAGTTTTTATAATTTTCTGGCACGTCCTGCTTGTTAACTTCAGTCGATATATTTGAAGTCACGTCTTGCTTATTACGTGCACGACTTTATTACGCTGGTGCAAATAAATTAAAGCAGCCGCAAATTTCGTGAATGCCTGGTTCCGGCAATTACTTTCTAAGAAGTCGAGCGTCAGGAAGACAGGACAACAGTGAAAGCGATTCATCGTTTGAGAGCACAGAAATGGACGAGACAAACCAGCTGGGCCCAGCCGGAGACGGTCAAATAAACGCCATTATCGCGACATTAAACGCCTTAAGAGCATCGGTGGAAGAACTGAGGAACAGCACCGTCGAAAGCCAACGAGATATAATAAGGTTGCGCGAGAACATTCGGCCACAGGAAATGGGTGAGCAAAACGTGACAATACAGCCAGCACCACGCGAATCGAGCATAGTCGCCATGCCATCGACAGATTCGACAGTCAAACTCTACGATTTGCCCACGTTTGCCGGTAATGCGGAAGAATGGCCGCTGTTTTTTGCCAACTATAACGACACCACCGAGGCATTCGGATACAGCCATCGCCAAAACTTAATGCGACTACAGAAGTGCCTTGTAGGCCCTGCAAAAGAAGCAGTGGCAGCGATGCTAATTCACCCAAACGATGTGCCAAACGTTTTAAGGGAGTTAGAATTTAGGTTTGGTCGGCCAGATATTCTAGTTAAACATCAGATACAAAAACTACAGCAGTTTCCGCCAATCGTCGAGCAGAAACTGGAACAGATTGTGCCATTTTCGTCCAGAGTACGCAACGTGGTAGCCTTCCTGAAATCCGCAAAATGTCACCAGCATCTAGCAAATGTCTCCCTGCTAGAACAAATGGTATGTAAACTACCGCAAAATAAGCAGTTTGACTGGGCCAAACATTCAGTCACCATTAGACCGTATGCAACTATAGAAGACTTCAGTACGTGGTTGAGCGAGCTAGCCAGAGTCGTGTGCCTGATGCCAACTACTACACACAGTACCAGAACTAATGCGCCATCTGGTAATCCTCGTCGTGTAATGCATATTCAGGAGGAAAGAGCAGAGGAAGCAGCAAAATGTCTTCATTGCAGCGGTGATCATCCTATCCTGAAGTGCGCTTCGTTCAAAGCCGCAGACGTGCAAGCCAGATGGGAATTTGTGAAGAATCGCCAGTTGTGTTTCTCCTGCTTGCGAAAGGGTCACATTACTGGAAAATGTCGTTCAAGGAAACTGTGCGGCATAAACGGATGTCAGCGTTATCACAGTCATCTCTTACACAACAATGAAGTTCCACTCACAACATCGCGCCAAATCGCTCAATGTGTTAGAAGTGTGCAGCCCGTGTTAAACTGTCGCCTCGTTCATGGAACGTCCAAGCAGCTGTTCAAGATGTTGCCTATCAACATTTACGGACCGAACGGTAAATACGAAATTTTAGCAATGTTTGATGAGGGTTCTGCCATCACAATTTTAGAGGAAGACATCGCCAGAAAGATCGGGGTTCGTGGCCAGAGTCACCCTCTCACGCTTCAGTGGTATGACGACTGAGTGGTAACTGAACAGTCGTATAAAGTCAACCTAGAAATCGGAAACAGCGTTGGCAACAGGAGGTTTACTTTGAAGGGCGTGTACACGGTGAGACATCTGAACTTGCCAGAGCAGGCATTCGCGAAGGGAAACTTCGAACACTTCGAACATGTGCCTTTGCAAAGCTACAGTAGTATGAAGCCGTCATTGCTGATTGGCCTAAATCAAGCATATTTAGGCGCCACCACAACTTTAATACAAGCTGATAACGAGAGTCCCATCGCTGCCAAAACGCCACTGGGTTGGGTCGCCTATGGACCAACCAAATCGCCACTAACGTCAAATCCTCGAGTCATGGTTATTAAGGAACATCAACAACTACATAATTTGGTTTCTGAGTATTTTGCATCAGATAGTTTCGGCACCAATCCGACGTCGGCAAAGTTACAGTCGGATGAAGACAAGCGAGCGCGTCATATACTAGAAACAACAACTACACGACAAGCAGATAAGCATTATGAAGTTGGACTTATTTGGAAACGGTTTCCGCCGCAACTCCCAAGCAGCAGAGAAATGGCAGAACGGCGTTTATTAGCGATTGAGAAACGTATGCATGAGGACAACGGATTTGCTGTCCGCTACAAGGAGGAAATGGCTAAGTACGTGGAAAAAGGGTACGCCAGAAGACTAACCGACAAAGAAGTTAGCGCATCACATCCGCAGATTTGGTACTTGCCGCATTTCGCGGTTTTCAACCCAAACAAGCCAAGCAAGCTGCGTATCGTCTTCGATGCAGCAGCGACTGTCAAAGGCGTGTCTCTGAACTCAGCACTGTTGAAGGGCCCCGAACAGGCACAGCCATTAATTCGCCTTCTGCTACAATTCCGTCAAGGTCAAATTGGGGTTGCGGCGGATATACGCGAGATGTTTTCGCAAATAAGGGTTAATCCAACCGATCAACATGCTCAACGTTACTTATGGAGACACGGAGACATCCACCAACCAATTCAAGAGTTCATGATGACGTCGATGATCTTCGGGGCTGTTTGCTCGCCCTGTATCGCCGAGTACGTGAAAAATCAAAACGCAGAACTTTTTAAGTCGGAGTTTCCTGAAGCATCGTCAGTTATCATTAACAAACACTACGTCGATGATCTGGTTGCCAGTTTTGAGTCACCAGAGCGAGCCATGAAAGTCAGCCGTCAAATCATTCAAATCCATCGCGAAGCAGGGTTCCACCTAAGAAACTTCGTCTCAAACTGCACTGAGTTGGAAGAAAGGTTGAATGAATCGTCATCATCAGAGCGAGAAGCAGTTAATATGGAACGTAATGGTACGACGGAGAAAGTTCTTGGCCTATACTGGAACACCGAAGAAGACACCTTTCAATTTAACACCAAATTTCATCGAGTGCCCAAAGATGTGTTGAACGGAGCACGAGCTCCTACAAAGCGGGAGCTGTTGCAGATAGTGATGGCAGTCTTCGACCCGTTCGGTATGTTGGCAGATTTCTTAATTTTTTCTAAACTTCTCATTCAAGATATGTGGAGGTGCGAGGTCGATTGGGATGATGCGATGCCAGCGGGGCTAAGCAGAAGGTGGTTACCTTGGTGGGAAGAATTCCATAACGTGAAGCTGTTTAAGATGCCACGATGCTACTCTCCACATATCCTGAACAAGTGTAGAGTTGAGCTACACATATTTGTCGATGCGAGCCAAGTTGCGTTTGCTGCGGTTGGGTACGTGCGTGTATCCTACAGAGACACAATCGATGTTAGTTTCGTCATGGGTAAAACGCGGACTGCACCTACTAAACTGATGTCCATCCCAAGACTCGAGCTCCAGGCGGCAGTATTAGGTACAAGATTGCACAAATTAATAGTCAGCGCTCACGAATTCACAGCTGAACGTATAGTTTTTTGGAGTGACTCACGTACTGTGCTGCAATGGTTGTACTCCTCTGAGCGAAAGTACAAGGCATTTGTAGGCCATCGCATTGCCGAAATACTTAGCTCAACCTCGCAAGAACAATGGCGATGGGTACCAACATGCCAAAATCCCGCAGATGTTGCCACACGTGCCTCCAATCCACCGAAGTTTAACTGTGACAGCAGGTGGACAAAAGGCTCCGACTTTCTAAAACAGGACGAACAGTATTGGCCTGCCATGTCAATAACACCGTCAACAATGCTACTAGAGGAAATGCAGCCTGACCGCCTGTTATGTATGCAGCCAAGCAGCGTGATTATCGAGTTCGAGAGATTTAGCTCATACATGAAGCTAAAACGAACCTTAGCCTGGGTTCTTAGAGCGATAAATTTATTTCGAGTGCATACAAATACCGGAGGAGCGCATTTACCTTCGCAACTTTCAGCAGCAGAGATCGAGAAAGCCGAACACACAATATGCAAGTTGGTACAACAGGAACATTTCGCAAATGAAGTCGCAGATTTGACTGCGTCACGTACGCTCACAAAAACTAGTCCGCTTTATAAGTTATCGCCATATGTAGATGAAAGTGGCATTCTCCGCTTGAGTGGTCGCATTGACGAAGCAGCGTACTTGCCCCTGCAAGCACGCCGACCAATTCTATTGCCGCAAAAACACATCGTCTCAACACTGATCGTTCGACATCATCATGCGAAAAATCACCACCAGAACTTGGCAGTAACGATCAATAGCGTTAGACAAAAATTCTGGATCCCGAACTTAAAGTCGCTCCTCAAAAGGGTTCAACGGAGTTGTGCTGTTTGCTGCATCGATAAAGCAAAACCCAAACCACCTTTGATGGGTCAGCTGCCTTCCGACCGCGTAACACCGTTTGTGCGCCCGTTTACCTACACTGGCGTCGATCTATTTGGACCATTAGATGTTGCAATCGGAAGACGCAGAGAGAAGAGATGGGGCGTCATATTTACTTGCCTCACGGTACGAGCTGTGCACATCGAGCTGGCGGAGAACTTATCGACCGACGCGTTCATTTTGTGCCTCCGCAACTTCGTGAATCGTCGTGGTACCCCGGCGAGGATTAGAAGCGACAATGGTACCAATTTTATAGGCGCACAAAAGGAACTGGCATCCGCTGACCACCTGCTGGACACAGACCGCATCCGAGCTGAAGCCACTAAGCACCATATCGAGTGGGTATTCAACTGTCCAGCAAATCCTAGTTCCGGTGGTTGCTGGGAGCGCTTGATAAGAGTCGTTAAATCGCTTCTTAATAAGACGCTTCGAGAGGTGGTGCCAAGGGAACATACGTTACGAAGTGTTCTCATAGAGGCGGAAAACATTATAAACTCGCGTCCTCTAACCGACCTGCCTATATCACATGAAGAAGATGAACCGCTCACGCCGAACCACTTTATAATGGGGTGTGTTAACTCGACACAGACGCCTCATCCCGTCGATGAAAAAATATGCCTCAAGAGACAGTGGAAGATTGCTCAAAACCTAAAGGATCGCCTGTGGAAACGTTGGACTACAGAGTATTTACCGCAGTTGTTGTGTCGAACTAAGTGGCACGAAGCAGTGCCTCCGCTACAAGTCGGAGATTTGGTCATTTTATTTGAGTCAAGCTTGCCCCGCAGGCTGTGGCATCGAGGCCGCATAACACGAGTCTTCCCAGCTAAAGACGGTCAGGTACGAGTGGTGGAGGTGAAGACCAGAACTGGACTTCTGCGCAGACCAGCATCCCGCCTAGCCAGGCTTGTGGTTGAGAGTGAATCCCGGAGTGATTCACGGGGGGTGGGGTGTTAGGTCGCCCTGTGGCATTTCATTGCTTGTTTCATTTATTTATG